TTCCCCTTAGTGAAACCATGCTGGCTGTATGAGGTTGACAGAATTGAATCATGTCATACATAATCTGTCACTTAAGCCATCTTACTGCCAGAGAAATTGTACTGCATCACTTGCCTTCTAACTCTAAAAATGGTCCAGAACTACAGCAAATTACAGATCAGAAATGTGGTATGTGAACCAGACAGATGGACAGAATAGAATTAACAGACATACATTAATAAGTCACTGGGAAGAATTATTGTGGCTTTTGCTTTTCAGGGAACTCCTGCTTCATGACCACAGAGAAATCAATAAATACATAAAAAGAAGAAATGCAGGGAATATATTTTACTTCTATTTTCAAAAAGCATAAAAGACACCTTTAATGTGTGTCATAAAAGACACACATTAAAAATGTTAAGCAGCCAGGGCATAACAAAGGAGGCATTTAGAAGAGTAATTGTAGGATCCTACAGCAGCTGCAACCTTATATGTGATGGAGCTTTTAAGCCATGGTCCCATTTCTACTCAAGGGCAATAGAGCTTACTGGTCCTTGGTCTCGGCAGCATTTATTATTGGAACTGTTTTTATGTGAAGATACTTGTAGGCTCCCTAGGATAACTCTTGCATCCTGTTATACTTACAAGATACTTGACTCAAAGGTAGCTTCATGCTTTACAAATATCAAGAACATCTGTATTGGAAAGGAATGTGTCATTTTTCAGATGCTTTATGGCATTCATACTTATATAATGCAAGCTTGAATACAACCTTTCAGTGAAAGATTTCTTGGTATTTGGTTCTCCAGTATGATTCATACCTGATGCTTGGTTTTAAGGGAGCTTATTTCCTGAGTGAAATTATCTTCTAATTCCTTTAATTTTTCATTATAGTACATGTCCTTGAGACTTAGCTGGTAATAATTTTCTGTCTGTAGCTCTTTCACACGAATCTGCAGGTCCAGCATTGCCTGACTCTGTTAGAACATGGATAAGAAGATAGCATTAACAGAGAGATTATCTGCCTTTAGCAACAGCTTGTTAAGGATATTTTATTTACATGCATGTATTTATGAAAGACAGCATTTGGAGAGAATTTACAGACAGACCAACCAAGAAGACATTCCAGAAGTAAGGTTCCTTTGTTTTCTTACAAGATGGTTTATAGAAATGCAGCTTCTGACTTCTCTACTCAATTAAAAATCCTTTCAAGAGATTCAGAAAAGTATTAGAGAAAAGTCTAAACCTTTCTCCACACTCACTGTTCATACAACGCAGTCTGCATGTTAACAGGCAGCTGCAGCTACTTGCCGTAACCTCTTTTATGACAAAAGGCATGCAAGCCCTCTTAAGCAGAAGGCCATATAGGAACAGCTAGTCAGAAACATGCAAATGTAATTCATAAGCTGTACACTAGGAATTCTATGTTTCATGTTCATAAGTTGCTCTACCTACCTTTTCTTTTATATCTGACCTCATGACCAACACTTCCTCAGCATACTCAACTTCCTTCTGCCATTTCACTATCCCACCTCCTTTCTCATATACTTTCCAGATAAATATAGAGCCATCCTCTGAGGCAGTCAACAGAAATTGGTCATCATTTGTTATGGACATCTTAGAAGGAAAAGACAACAAAATAATAGCAGAGACAAGGAAGTATAGAGACATTACTCCAAATTTTATTCCCCACCCATCTACTCCCTGTCATTTCTACCACAATTCTATGATTCTATGATAACTTTATCTTCCTCTTTCCAGAAAGACCTATATTTTAAAGTTTGCCATCAGAGAAATGCCATGTTATGTATCCTGGTGCAAGCCACTTTTTAGCCAACAACAGCTTATCCAGTGACATCTATTTCTAGAGAGAGGACTTCTATGAATGCTGTAATATTCGTTCTTCATGTGGAGGCTCAACCTCAGTTTTAACAGTTTTATTATGCTATGAAATGGGAAGGAGAATCAGTGCTAAAGGAGACATGTGCAGCCTGTAGTGCAGGGAAAAGAAAGTACTTTATGTTACCTTTGTAACAGCACTTGCATGGGCCTGATACTCATTGAAATCCATTGTCAAAGGTAGTGGGTACTTCATAGCTCGAATTGTCCCCAGAGATGTACCAACAAATACCATGTGCCCAGAATGAGAAATAGCTACTGCAGTATAAACAACACCAAAAGCAGGAACTTCATGCTGGATCTAAAAAAAAAATAAAGACAAACAAAAACACCCCACAAAAGCCTCACATCACATTAAGTTCCCCAATACTATTTGATTGCCTATTGCATGAACATGTGTCATACCTCTGTCTGCAGCAAATAATGCAGTTAAAAGAATCTACATTCCTATAGGAGTAGAGCCATAACAATCATTAGTATTAAGCTTTACAGATACTCACTCTTAAAATTTCAAGCCAAGTTCTACACATTGATCACTTCTGAAAGATGTAATGGTTATCAAACACAATTTGCTACTTTCCTGGACCAAAAAAAAAAGGAAATGCACATAGCCTACAGTAGGAGATGCAATATACTAAGATTTCAGCAAAACTGTAGGTTCAAGATTGCCAAGTTAGTTTGTTATCGGGATTAGTAGATTTCTAGGTAAATTGGAGTAAAGTTATAAAAATACAAAATTACATCAAAATCTCAGGTTTCATGGTAAAAGACATAAGAACACATGAAAAGTGTCGGTAAATATTTCAGCTCTCAAAACCAGATTGATTACTACTTGGATGATAACCATTTACTTATGGATGATAAGAAAACCAAAGCACTACTACCCTCTCCCAAAAAACTTAGCAAAATCCCAGAGTCCTTGTTAGCTCACCGAAGACTCTGAAATTTCTTTGAGAGTTTGGTCAGATCCAACAGCAAGGATGACTTTGGCATCAGAAGACAGGTCAATGCTGCTGTACCTGCAGGACTTGAGCACACACTCTGTCTCCCTTTTACCTGTCAACAAGTTCCACTCATACACAGCACCATGTGTGTCACAGGAGATAAATTTAGCATCATCTGCACTCCACTTAACTGAACGTATCTGGCAAAAGCAAAACATCAAAGAGCCTGATATGTAGGTTACAGACACACAGCATGGAGTCATTTTACTGGTAAATCCATGTCAACTTCGGAATCATACTTCCAAGTCTTACTTAAAAACCCTTAGATGTTTCACAACTAATTATATTTAAACAAAAAAAAAAAAAAATAAAAAAAAGAATCTGGAACAACTACTTTATGAACAGACTGTCAGGAAAAAGCTCATTTCAATAATGAGTAGTACATTTTATTTTTATAATTTATTACCGGGATATTTTTCCTGGTTCAGTTATCTGACGATCATTCACTTTCAATTTAAGAACAGACTCTTTAGATGTACCTAATACAATCCACACATTGACTTGTGACCAAAGAAAATTGACTTTTGTATTTCTAATTTTACTTTTTGGGCCCATTTCTGATCCAAAATTCTACTTTACCTTCCCAAAATGCATCTTTGAATGAACTAGTTGGTACTAGTTCATGCTTTAATGAGTTGTATTGCGTAGGATTTGTTTACTAACCTTCCCACTATGTCCTTTCAGATTATTAATATTCTCAAAGGTGATGCTGGAATAAATTTCAATCACATTTCCATTAACTGCAGCAAAAAGATGTCCTCTGTTACTGAATGAGCACTGCAAAAAGAACATAACCACTCATTACTGTAGATGCAGTGGATAAAAACATTCATGCATTGAATTCCAATGACATCATCTAAAATCAGAACGTTACACAGAAAGAAAACTCGATGACATAATTAGCCTCTTACTGCTTTCTTAATTGGTACTTTGCCTGGTAAAATTCAGTCCTTGAGCATTTCTCAGCAAACTACCCCTTCTACTGCTTCCTAGGTGCACATTACACATCAGCCTCCAGGCTTATTTTTCAAGTCAAACTCCTTTTCTCTATGGTTTGATATCCTAAATCCTACTAGGATCTACTAGAGAGGTTTCTGTCTTCTGTCATGTTTTTCGCCATTCTGCTTCTTATAACTCCTCTATTTCATTTTTGCATCACTCCTTACCTCTCTACACTTTATCACAGCAAGCTCCTTGAAAACATGCATGTCCTCATACAGTAGACTTATAAATCGTAGTTTGTCAGAAAATCCAACCAAACAGAAAAGGCCAGTGGGATGAAGTGATACTGCATATGCTTCCACCCAGTATTCCTTATACAGCTCCAACGTGCTGAAAGAGAAAACCTCTGCGCAGTATGGAATAGCACAAACTCCCTGTGCATGCAGAACGGGACATTATCTGGCCCAGCAAGGACACCTGCAGCTACAATCTGACTCTGCCTTGTCCTTGAGGAAATGTGCTGTCATTCAGTTAAGTCATGATCACACAGATGTTACAGAAAATAAAGGCACATCTGAACTTTCTGGTTCACAGAGAAGGTGTAGAAGGTGCAAGAGCAAATCCTTGTTTACTGTAATATGATGATGAAGGTAAATGAACCGCTAACTGCAAACCTACACAAATATCTCTTCTGAGATTTGTTTTTCTCCCCCTCTCCTTCTACAGAACCTTAAAAGCTGGAGTCATTTTGCTTAAGAACTATGGCTATGAAGCAGGACAGCAGTAACTTAAAGCAAAGCTGAATGAAACATTCCTGAAGATTTTTGTCTCAATACACGTGAGAAGTCTGACACAAAAATGGCTTAATAAAAAAGGCTTTAGAGTCTTCTAGCACTGGTTTTAAAGGCACTGCATATTCAAACACCCCAAATAATGTCAGTTAGCCCATTTACAATCCCACGCCACACAAGAATTCTACCAAAACAACACTCTCATTCATAGGAGATTGCTGCTGTTGCCTGCCAAATACAATAAACAAAAAAGCAAAAGGTAGTATCAAACACAAACAACTCTTTACTTTGTCTGGTAATTCCAGATGCGGACAGATCTATCCAGGGAACAAGTGGCAAGAATGGATTTCCAAACACAGATGTCCAGACCAGTGATGGAAGCAGAATGCAATGGGAAAGTCAAATATTTAAAATAAGCAATCCTCTCCTGAGAAGCAATGAGAACATACAAAATTCACAAATATTTCACTACAAGCCGTAAGTCAGGTAAGAAATCTATCATTGCTCTTTGCATGCAGTAGTCAAACAGATCTGAGGAAACCACGCTCCTTTCAGTGCACGGGTCTGAACATAATATTAAAAACATAACAACGTTATAATCAGTTTTAACTTTATAATTAATAATCAAGAAAAGCGATGGGGGAAAGATACAGGCTCCACAGTCCTCATACACTAGTGAAAGCAGAACGTAGGTGCCCAAAGAAATGCAAGTTAGATAAATAAATAAAACTGGACCTGCCAAGAATTCATTTAAGGGCTTCTGGTCAGACATACATTTAAAAACAATCAAGTGCTGAGTGATAAGCAGCTTAACCAAGATGTTTAGCTAGTACATCCTGAAGTGAAGCATCAATAAAATTTTAGGCTACGTGCAGAAAAAGGACCCATAACTACAAACCCCCCTTCCTGTAAAGATCTTTCTATATGCCTGTACACAGGTGAGGTATTTAACTCCAAGCCAGCCTATTTAATGATAATACATTTATCTCCTGTCTTTTTATTATTTAATTCCCTCAGAGTAGGGAATGTTTCTCATTATGTTTCTCCTTCACAAAGAGGTTTCACTTCTAACTAGGACTTCGATGACTATTATTTTAGAGCCACATGAGATTCCCATGGCTGTCCCAGCTTCATTATTGCTTTAAAGATTCTGCATGTTACAGTGGAGCATAAACTATTAAGTTAAAAATCTCTCTCTTAAAGCCTTACTTAACTAGTTCAACACTTACTTAACTAGTTCAGCACCCTTAAACAGACTTAACAGTGTCCTCTCTCATTCTGCTGAATAACACCAGGTATTCATACGGAGGGATGGTTGAGCAAGGGGCTACTGAAATATAGCTCTCAGAGAAGCACGCAGAACTCTTCATATCATGAGCTTTAAGGGTTCAGATGCTATTTGATGCTATTTATGAGAATGCATCATAGAAAGTGACATAGAAAGTGGCCTGTGCCATTACAATATCCCTTACTGGACATGAGGGCTGTGGAATGTGATAGGATTGCACTCACCTTCATGAAATCAGTGGTGAGCATAGAAAACATGTAAAGCTGATTCTTATGTGTGTTAACAACCATCGTTTCCTCGGAGGGGCTGAAGCATATACATATAATGTCCTGTCTGCCTGACTTGTTTGGATCACTGCTGAACTGGTCCTTAGGAAGCTGCACAAGAAATGCATCCCATGGGATATTCCAGGTCTCCACGTTTTAGCAGTAGGCACGCACACACACACAAACAAACTTTTGCTGTGATGCTACTCCAATAAGCATATACTTACAGTGAAAAAACTTAGATATTTAATAGTACCTAACTACTGCAAGGCAGGGAACAGAGGACAAGATAATCTAACTGCATCTATCTACAGCATTACAGCTGAAAAAAGTATTAGAGGACATTTCAGCAGTAAACTTTAGCACTGCCTTAAACAAAACTGAAGATGGTAGCAGAAAAACATTGAGAAAAAAACTAGCAAGTGTCAGAATGAAAACTGCCTGAAAATTGTGATCTCAGAGTAACAGTTCTTTGCAGTGTATCATTCAGGTTGATAACAGCCTTATTACAGGGTCTCATGCATAGGGAAGATCTGACCTCTTAGGTCCAGAGTATGAAGGCTTAAGCAGGTCATCAGAGCTAAATGATCTTATCCAGAGACTGCAATAAGTCAATGCATACAGTTCACTATAGAACAGTTAGAAATCTTACTGGATTACTTAACAGTGCAAAAGTCTCATAAATACCTTAGGGGACAAAACCTTTGCCTTGGAAAAAACCTAAACAGACCACTTCTTCAAAATTGATGTAGAGTACTTCTTAGCTCCAACAGTCTCCATAAATAAAAGTTTCTTAAAGGCTTCCTGATGTCTAGCAGCCTCAAAGCACATTTTACATGTGGGAACATGCAAAGCTACTTTACAAAAGTCATCTGTCACTTACTTTCAATGTAACCTCTGGCAACTCCCTTCCTTTCAACCAGGAGAGTTAGCTAATGCTTAAAATATAATTTTGAAATGTGCTAAAAATTACTATAAATAACTGAACTGGAAATATCCCTCTACCCCTCCCCTCTAAACAGGCCTCTGCTGCATAATTGCCCTGAAAAGTTTTTTTTCTCCCTACCCAGATTTCTCGACTCTCCTCGTAGAGTTCCTTTCCCCTGCTCTTCTCAAACAGCAGAACAATTCCTGGGCTAGATGAACATGCAAATCCTTTGGAATAAGCTGCAATTGCAGATATTTGAGGCAAAGAATCCTGTTGTGAACCATCATTACCACTGGAGCCAACAGAACAACTGCAAGCAGGAAATGCATAAAGACTTAAGAATAAAGAAGGACAAACAAAAAAATACTTATCAGCAGCAATTAAAATATTATTGATAAACTGGACAAGAAGGAAATAAGTGAATGGCCTGCAACTAATGAAATTATTAGTATTTAACAGATTTACCATTCATATTCCGCTGTTGCATCTTCTTCTAATTCCCTGTGTGGTTTTCTGTACTCTACACTTGTCTTCCAGAGCAGATCTCCAGTTTCAAACAAGATCAGTTTGCCTGTGTCTGTGCCACATATAACTTCCTCCTTGGACAGCCAGGTATGGCACAAGTAGTTTTGTGGCATTCCCTTTTCTAAATTCATCTGCTTCAAAGTTCCTTCACAGTACTTAAAAAGCTTAAAAAAGCCATTTCCAGTGATACAAACCTGTGTATTGTCTTGAGGACTAAAACTCACCTATGGAATAAAAAGAGAAAATATTTTATACAACTATATTCACAAACAAGCAAATATGATACTTGTTGTAAAGACTTGCAATACCAGATACGGGAGAACCAAACAAGGGAAGAAGGTTCTTAGAAACATACAGGAATACAGAAAAGAATGACCATCATAACTACATATTGCAGTTTCCCCCCTTTTAAAACTCTGTATATCAATTTTACATGATGCTACAAATACATTAATGCTATTAAGCTGCTATCTGAATCACAACACAATACCAATGGAAAAGTTGTCTCTGCCCTTCAGAATTAAATGCCAAAAGTAAGGCCAAAATACCTCTTTACTGCTGATTAGCATGTTTTTTTTCCAGTGGCAAGCTTCATGAGAAGTGGAACCGTTAGTTTCTAAAGGCCAGGAATAAATTATTTCTGGCATACCTTGCCCATTATACGTATTAATTCACATAATTAGGTATTTATTGGTGGAAACAGTGGAATATCCATCTCAATACACAACACGAAGGATAGCAGGGGTAGTTAGAACTCATTTTTCATGCTTAATGGGACTTTAGACTGTAACTGTCTTTAAAGTCACTGTCCTCCTCTTAGGAATTGAGTTCATGAAGTTGGTAGTTCACCCAACCTCTCCTTGTAGCTGTACCCCAGAAAAAACAGCAGCTGGGGTCCAGCCAACCCAGGTACTGAAAGCCTCTTACCTCCCTGCAAGAAAGATACTAAAAACGGCACCCAAAGCAGGATGTGGGAATCGTTTGAGTGCCATCAGCCTGCTCCTAGTCACTCTTCCTTGGCTACTCCTCTGGTCTGCCCATAGAACAGACTGCAGGAAGGAAAAGGTGTGTGAGCATGCAGAGAGCTTTCAAGGTGTGTGCTATGCCTACTGAACACAGCCAATGTATTTAATGAGTGTTTCTGCAGAGACACAAGGGACATGTTGCGCACACACTGGCCAGTAGTACTGGCCTCACACATAGATCTCACATGATATGAGAATCTCATGTGATGTAAGAGATAAGGCCATGAGAATGTCCATTATGGGTCAAAAGCAAAAATTTATTTAGCCCAGTGTCTTATTACTGAGGAAGGCCAACAACAGATGTCAAGAAAGGCCATGGAAACTGTTCAAAATCTACAGTGTGGAGCCCTTTCCTTCCTGTCTTGCCCTGGATAGAAGCCATGTGGCCACAGGAAAAGGTACTGGGCACGTATCCTGCAGACTGAACTCATGTTCTAAGCACCCAGTACTTGTTGAACTTAAGTTTGGTCTTTTTACCCACGTTTTTGAGAGTGCAATAAGCTTGCAAAGAACCACTCAACTGTGAATCAAAATGTTAAACGTAAGCCACAGAGACGCTGGCCCAGCTCATTTGCGGAGGTGCTTGTGTGCACCCCCGTACCCTGGCAAGGTCGGGGGGAGCCGAACGGGCCCGGGG